AATAAATGCTTGCGAATTGAAAAAAATTAAAACAAAACAAAACAAAATCTTTCATAACTTGGTCCTGTCCTACTTTACAATTCTTCTTACACTTGACTCTCATTGTATTACTCTATGATTCAGTGACTCTGGCCTCTTTGTTTCTCACAAAAGACACTCCATCTCTCAATTGCCTGCATTTCCTCGGGCTGTCCTTTATACCTGGAATTCTCTCCCTCCTCATCTGCCTCCTGGTTTCCCTGGCTTTCCTTAAGTCTTAGCTTAAAATCCCACTATCTGCAAGAAGTCTTTCTTGATCACCCCTGATGCCTTCCCTCTGAAATTGTCTCCAATTTATCCTGTATGTATCTTATTTGTATATAGTTTTTTGTACATTGTCTCCATTAGACTATGAGCTCTTTGAGAGCGGAGACTCTTTTGCCTTTCTTTGTATCTCAAATACTTAGCATAGTTTCGGGCACATAGGAGGCACTTAAATGCTTGTTGACTTGACTTTAAGTCTGTGAGTGTGGCATTAGATGCTGCAGAGAATTTCTCATCTAAACTTTGTATTTCCTCTGCCACTTAACACAGCGCTCTGTAATAAACATGGATTTAGGGGTGTACTGGTAAATGTTTATCAACTGGCTCTTTTTTAAAAAAAAATATATCCACAATGCATTTTAAAGTTTAATCTGCACTATTGACACCTTATCTATCACTTTCTTAAGTCTAGATAATTAACAAAACATAAATTGAGCCCAGATTTGTGCATTTACCAATTTTTCAAGCATAAATGCTCACACTGAAAATTTAACACTAGGTTCTCCCAAGCTAGTTTGAGCAGGTTCCTGCTGGTCATAACTGGACTTTAGCAAGACATATTGAAAAAAGAATACCAAGGAGGAAGAGATCACTTTTGTAGTGGGTGGTCAGGGAAAGCTTCAAGGAGAAGGTGAGATTTGAGGGGAAACACAATTCTGACAGGTTCAAAGGAACTGGAGCAAAGTAGATGCCTGCTAAATTTTAGGAGGTGCTTGTATAAAAAGGAGAATCGAGTTATATTTTGAGAATAATGAGAACATGAGTCTGGTCAGAACATTGGATTTATCATATAGAAGATTTGTAGGACATATATGGTTGGAAATGTAGTTTGGGGTCAGATTATAGCTGGTTTTTGGATGCCAGGATAAAGGGTTTGGGCTTTATACTGTAGGTAAATGGGAATCATTAAAGGTTTGTGAAGAATAGAGTGGCATGATGAAAATAGCATTTTAGGGAGAAGTGTATAGGGTGAAATGGGAGGGAGAAGGACTAGAGTCAGGGGGAACAGGAAGGTTGCTATTGTAATAATCTAGGTATAAAATGATAAGAGCCCAATTTTGGGGAGTGCCTGTGGAAAAAGAAAGGGAGTTTGAATTTTCATCATGAAAAGGCACAGAAATTCCTGGGCACTGATAGCAGACTATCCTTGGAATTCCCTCTGGGTATCTGGGCTCCCCCTTTCCTTTGCTACTTCTTCTATGCCTGAGCTTCAAGGCTTATGGGTTCCCTGGTTGATTTCTCCAGGAAAATACAAAGCCCTAATTTTTTTTTTTTTACCTTTCTCTGCGTCCTTTGGAAGCACAGAACGTTGTTGTACTTTCCTAAGGGAGCCCTTGGTGTTTTTTGGATGAGTCACCAGGAATAGCCTCTAGGAGTGGGATGGAGACTTTTGCTACATGGGAGAAAGAAGGTGTGGCCTTATGGATCCTGGTAGTATTTCCCCTGATGTCCCTATATCATTTCCTTACCATTCTCCTTTCTAGGAGAAAAACTACTTACCTGTTGTGTCCTCTTGCTTCTGAATAGCAGGTGTCTGGCATAGAGCCTATGGGTTGCATGTACATCACTAGAATACGTGGGTTTTTTTCCCCTACTCTGGTTCTAAAGGGAAACTGATACCTCAGGAATGAGAAGGGACTCCTCCAGTGGATTAGGAACTGAGCTGAGACTAGAACCCAGGTGGCTTGGCTCTAAGCCCGTTTGACCACACTGCTGCCCACACAGCCTGGGTGAATCAACAACAAGCAATTCATTGAGCAACTGCACAAATAACAAATAAGTGATCATAGCAAGAAATAGTCACAAAGCAACTGCAACCCCCATCTGTCTCTGGCCTCCAGATTGCCAAGGAAACCTCTGAAAGTGTGGTATCTTCAATGTATTTGTAGCTTGACCTAGTATTAAACTTGGGCCAGCATCCCCTTTGGACTCACACCCTTAGTCTGTACACACATTGGCAGACCAGGTTCTATCAGGATTCTAGGGTGAAATCTGAGAGTTACTGAAGATTCTGATATACTTAGGAGCCCCAACTTATGTGCCCTCTATTGATTATCAGCTGGAATGAATTGACTTTTAGAAAAGGTATTTACTAAGCAAGAATAACAAGAATATTTGTTACAGAAACATCCCTCAAAAGAGGAGTACACCCTCTTGATTCCTTCTACATGTGCTTATCAGGCCCTGTAAAATATGTCCCATTCTAACCACCAGCAGCCACCCAAGTACCATTGTGTATGCATCAATTGATAATCAATCAATCAATAAACATTTATTGAAAGTGCCTAGTATGTGCCAGGCACTCTTCTAAGCACCAGAGTTTATGGAATAGCACCAGCACATGAAATGTTTCAGTTTTTAGGTTTTTCAACTGTCTGCTTTTTGGAGTTATCTGCTTCCCTGTTTCCCAGTCTTGTTTTGGAATTCCCACCATTTTAACTGGTAAGAAAGTAATGTATTATTTGTTGCTTTTAATGCTCAAATTACACTTTGGATCTTTGAGGATGAGCAGATGAAGAAGGGAATAAAGGAAGTGGTGTGAAGTGGGTAGTGATAGTTTATCATATATTGCACGGGGTGGGGGGGTGCTTTCAGGTTCTGGGAAGTAAGTCCATTACCACTATGACCTATACTCCTTTGGAGTGGTAAATTCGGCAAACCTCTCATAGTTCAGAAATGTGAGGAGTAATCAGGGCCAACTCCCCCCCCCCCCAAGATGCCATTAAATGGCTCAGTAAATGTATTAACTCTCTTGAGCCAATCTCCAAACTTTAAAACCTGGTGTGAATAAGTCGGACAGGAATGAGGAACAAGTATTATTAAGCACTGACTACGGCCAGCACTGTGCTAAGTGCTTTACAAATATTATTTTATTAGATCCTCACAAAAACCCCGAGAGCAGGTGCTATTTCACAGTTGAGGAAACAGCAGCAGACTGATATGAACAGACTAATGTCCGCTCAGGGATTTCTTTCGTTCGGTCTTTCATCGCCTGAAGTGCCTTGCATTGCTAAACCACAGAAGAAAACTAGAACCAGGTCCCCTTTGCTCCCACAGACTAGCAATATTGGTACTCATCAGAAGCACCCTAGGGGACCGGGGAGTTAACCTCCCCAAGCCCTGGCTCCTCCTTAGTCAGGGGGCCCCCCAGGAGGCAGGGATGGTTTAAGGTTTCCTAGAGTGAGCTGGTTCACCACAGTTTGTCTCTTTATATACGTTTATTGCCCCGTATAAAGCCAGAGCCACAATAAATGCTTGTGGACTGACTGCCGACTGGACCAGGTGAGCTGCATGCAGTTGTGAGGGCATAGGGAGGTTGACGCGGGACTGTTGCATCCTGGCTCACTCGAACGTAACTCAGGGAATCAGCGTTAATTTCGCGTGAAAAGCAGGTGCCAGGAAGTTGGAATCCTAGGACGGCGTTTGGAATTCCCTTTGGCATGTCACTTCGTCATCGCAAAGTATTTCTGAGATGGCTACCTGTGCGCTTCCCTGTACGAGATAGCAGTCCACGGTCCCCACCCTGCGGGAGCTAACTCCCAAACCCGGAGGATCGATACCTTTGGTGCATTAAGTAATGGAAGGGCTGGGGGGGAGGCTTCTTGGGTACCAGCCCTTTGGGGGTGGGGAAGAAGGAAAGGCTAGGACGGGATGGGAGACCAGGAGCATCTACCTCTACTCCCCCATCACTTTTCTCGAGCCCTTTCTCCCTCCCCACCTTCCCAGGCTCCAGCTCGGGGACGCTCCGCGAGGACAAATGGGCAACGAGGGGTCGCCCAGCTCGCTCGGGCGCGCGGGGCAAGAGAAAAAGAAGCGGGGTCACGCGCGGGTTAACTGCAGGGCGGGGTGGAGGCGGGGCGGAGGTGGTGGTAGCGGCGGCGATAGAGGTGAGGGGGCGGGGCTTCGAGAGGAGGCGGGACCGAGCCGGAGGCGGCCGCGGCCGAGGCCGCGGCGGCGGCCTCAGCGGCTTTAGGTGTCACTACCAACCCACTCCGGCCGGAAACAGGCGCCAGTTTCCGGCCGGACGGTTAAGGAGTGGCCGCTCCAGGGCCAGCCGCCGGAGTCGAAGTGGGTACCGGGCTCGGAGAGAGCGGGGAGGCGTTGGTAGTGGCGAGCCGGGACTAGCCCGTGAGGAGCCGCCGCTGCCGGGGCTGGAGGAGGGGGCCGGACCGGCGGGGAGGGAGGGGGGCGTCGCCGGCCGCCGCGGGCTGAGGAGAGGCTGCGGGGCCCCGCGCTCCGCCCCGGCGGCCTAGAGTAACGGAGCCCCCGCCCCCGGGACGCAGGGGGCGCGCGGCCGCCCGTCCGTCCGCCCGCCGTCGGACCCCCGCCCGCCCCGCCTTCCTCCGCGTCGGAATCCTTCCCCACCCCTTTGTCGGTGTGCTGGGGCGGGGGGGGTCACCCCTGACCTTCGCCGGGGGCCCGAGCTTGGCCGAGCGAGCTCGGCCGGAGCCTCTTGGCCCCCAAGTTTGCGGAGCTGCCCCATCAGGGCCGGGCCCCTCCTGGCAACGAGCTGCGGGCTCTGGTACACAAAACGCGGCCCGCAGCAGCGCCCACGGGCCCTTCCGTCCGCCCCGCCTGCCTCGGGCCGACGGAAAAGTTCCCGGGGGAGGCTGGAAACTTGAGAAGCGCAGGGGTGAGTGAGTGGCGGCGGCGGCGGCGGCCGACGGGCTCTGCCCCGCCGACCACGGTCACGGGCTGGCCCCGGCGTGTTTACTGGCCCGCGGTATTTTTAGCCGCTCTTCATCCGGGCTCGGCTCCGGGAACTTGCCTTGTTCGAGTAGGGGATGATCTGGCGGCGGCTCCCCCCCGGGAAGGTTTGTTCCCCAACACTTAGTGGAGTCCTCGTGTCCCCCGATGCCCGACCACTGACGGGCAGCGCAGAGCCCTGCAGCAGGAGCACGGAGCAGCTGCTGAACTTCGCTTTGCCTACCTTTATATTTTTGTAAACGCCTTGTGTAAAGTTACTCACCATTGCCAGTGGTAGACTTCTCTTCGTTTGTATTCCGGAGGTCCCTTTGAAGCAAATAGCCTCTTCCATAGTTGGGAGATTCGTAGAAATGTAGTCAGTTCTTAGTCATCACCTTCATCAGCGGAGAGAAACAGTGGTATGGACAATTCATAATGTTATTTCCTAATTTATTTTTAGCTTTGGAATGTTTTAAATTTTTTTAAGATTTTCTTTTCTAACGTTATACTTAGTTTTAATGAGAAAATGTGTTTTTGTTACTGATAAAGACTCATCCATGGATGGAGTTGGGAAAGAAGGTAGCTAGGGTGGCTAGAGGGAGCATGTCTGTTGCTTAAACATGTCCCTGGGCATTAGCCACAGGTTAATAATACCAACAGATTATGGAGTTGACCTGTTTATCCTCCTTGTTTCTCAAGTAGTTGATAATTGAAGTTCAGCATCCAGCTTTACCCTTTCTTTGTTTTTTCCATTGTGGAGTTAAGAGCTGGCCGAAATAATGCCACGATATAATGGGTAGCAATTAATAATAATAGAATTGAAATTGATAAATGAAATGTAGACAATTGTAGAGTGTGTCTGCAATTTTTTATCTTGTATCTTAGCCACCTCCCTACTTAAATAAACAATATCAGTATTAATGGCCCAAGGAAAACATTTGAAAACTGAAAGATATAGAAAATATACATTCCAAATAAGTTTTTAATTATTTACCATTTTGGCCTGTTGTGCCCTTCATTAGCATGAATGATCAAGAATTGACCATTCTGACTGACTTAGGGCAACTCTGTACTGAAGTGGGGAAGGATAGTTGGGGTGGGTGCAGACCGTTCCAGAGCTGAGTCAGTTACTCACATTTCTGCCTAATTAAGCTTGTCCCTTTGGTTTAATGCCACAGATTCCTTTGAGAAAGTGTAAATTTTCTGATTACAGATGCTAGTACTTTTTCCACTATACCCTACTGTCACCCCTCCCTCTCCAGTCTCTGAAAATTAGCCCCTCAAACCCAGAACATTTAGACATTGTTCCTTAGAATTAAAATACACAGTGAAATGAAAGCTTTAGTAAGAACTTTCCTACCCTCTTACAGAATTATGGTTTAGGGTAATCAGTTTGAATTTAGTTGGATTATGGAAGTGTGATCTGTCAGAGTCATAAGTGTCATTTGGATGAAATAGAAGTAAGAGTGCACAGACAACCTAAATATTATTCTGGAAACTCCATTTGTTTTTTCTCTCCTGTTTCACTAGCAATGTTTTGAGAAACATAGTATGGGGAGTTGGAATGTGATTTTTTTGAAGTTGCACACACCCAAAGAGATTAGAAGTACTCAGATGCTTCATTTTGTGTGTGTGTTAGAGTTAGCGCAATTATTACTGACAGGCTCCATGACCTATTTATAATTGTGGCAGGAGCAAATCCCCTGGTTGAAATGCCTGTAGTTTGAATAAACCTCAGAGGGGCAGGGAAAGAATTGGGTCATTATGAGGCTGGGTGTATTTATTAGCCTGATTCTGAGATATATTGTTGGTGAATTCTACAAAATCCAACATAATTAAAGGGAATACCTGCTTTTGGGGCTTTTGGTTTATTTGAAGAGACAGAACAGGGCTTAATACTTACGAAATGGCATATAAACTGGTGCAGTTTAATGTAGTGGAAAGTGCTGAGAGAACTTATCATGAGGAGCAATGAGAAATGGATAGTTTCTTGGATAAGATAGTTTTCCCCTGGGTTTTGGCAGACAACATAGATTGATAGAGGAAAAAAGGGAAGGACATTCTAGGCAGAGGAAGTCGCATGTGCAAAAGTTGGTGTGGGTGGGATGAGCGATGTACAATGGGGGAACAAGTGAGATTGGCTGGAATGGAAGGTTTGATGGTAGGTCATGGGAGGTGAGGGTGAAATAGACAGTTCTGAGGAGAGGGGTTTTGGAAGCCAGACTGAGTTTGGATTTGTTAACATTGGATAATAGAGAGCCACGTTAGGCCCGTGAACGGTGGAATGATGTATTGAGAGTTCTGGTTTATAGAGAGAGGGAGGCAGATACATTAGGACCCATTTCTTCCTCTCCTGAACCAGTTTAGATGAAGAGAATCTTGGCTGAGGCTTCAGTTTTCTCTGTGAAAGCAGTTCTGTTTCAAGCAGCCTAATTTTACAAAGCTCTCTCTATACCCATCTCAGAGTGGTTTAACATATAGGGGATTACAAAGGCTATAACTAAAAGTTCGCCATGTTCTTGAGGCAAGCAAAAAAAGGGTCCATTATGTATTTTCAATGTTCAGTCTTCCTTGTGAAGATTGTAGGGGATCAGTGGTGTAGGCAATCCAGAACTGAAAAGTGCTAAAAGTATTTGTTTTGGAAAGCATTATAATTAAAAACCCTAATAGGTTTATCTTTTATTTTGTTTATGTTACCATTATAATTTGAATTACCTGAGTACATACCACCTAATATAATTACCTACCCTTTTTTCTCTACCTGTCTAGGTCTTCCAAAACCCAGGCTAAAATTTTTCTTACCCAAGAAGTCATCCTTTTCTCACTGCTCTTTATGAGTCCGAATAGCCTAGTAGAGGGAGCCTGCAGTTTTCTTTATAATGGTATAAAATAAACAATTCAACTTGTGGATAATAGAAATTTTACTATACTACGAATGTTGGTAAGGGACATGTCTTGTTCAGTCATTTTTTTCAGTCACATCTGACTCTTTTTGACCCCTATTTGGGGTTTTCTTGGCAAAGATGCTGGAATGGTTTGCCATTTCCTTCTCCAGCTCATTTGACAGATGAGGAAACTGAGGCAAACAGAGTTAAGTGACTTGCCCAGGGTCACACAGCTAGTAAGTGTCTGAGGCCATATTTGAACTCAGGAAGAAGATGCGTCTTCCTGACTCCAGGTCTGGCATTCTATCCACTTTGCCATTTTAACTGCCCCACATGTTTTGGGGCAAACCCCTTTTAGGGTTCATACTGGCCTCTTAGCCTTTTAGGCCCTTGAGTTTTTCATGTATATAAGCCAGAGTGAGTTGTTCAGTCATAAGTGTCAAGAGCTCCTCAGGATTGCATCAGTCTGATGAGAATTAAGCTGTTTTTGTTTGTTTTCTTCCCCCCAAAGACTAGTATCTAAAAGAGGGGATTAAAGCACTAGATTTAATCAAAATTTATCAAGACCTTTTCTTCTGGAGTAAATTTATTTCAAATTTGACCATTTTTTTTAAGGGAAAAATTAGCCCTTTAAATTTAATAAAATACTGTTATCCATCTTTCAAATAAAATGGTTGGCCTGAACACACCTGACTTCATAATTGCTGCCAAAGCTGTGTACTTGTGATGTCATTAGTAAAAGATTATGATTTACCTCTTGCATGAGAAGATTGTCATCTTCCTTGGAGTCTGGAAATCAGAAATTGAAAAAGACTGGGTTCTATTCCTTCCACCTACTCTGGATCATTCTTAACTGTGTGTGTTATAGGGTTCTTTCTCATCCCTTTATTTTCTTTAGGAAATAGTTTGCTTTCACTTATGTGTGCTAATAGAGGGGAATAATCAATCAACAAATATTTATTAAGGATCTACTATGCACTGGTTGAGTGGTGGGGATAGGAATACAAGTATAAGATACTTGTAAAAGATAAAAATCCCTAATTTCAGAGACTTTATTATCTAGTTGGGGAGACAAGACAGATATACCAGAAACTGTCAAATAATGCAAGAATATCCGATTAAGTGGTTAATTGTTTGGTATAGACTATAAGTACTGCAGGAGTTTAGAGAGGGGAGAGATTAGTGAAAGCTTCTTGAAGAAAGTGGTATTTGAACTAGACCTTGAAGAATAAATAGAATTTGGTTGAGTTGTTGGTAAGGGACAAACAGCCAAGAAGGGTGAGCATGTTTGGTAAGGTGAATAATTTAGAGATAAAGAATTTATGAGATGGAAGAGACCATGAGGGAAAGTGTGGAAGCAGGAATTTGCATTGCAGTTAAGAAGTTGTCATCACTTTAGGGTTTCATTTGGGAAACATAGGGAAGTAAATTTGGCTAGATGTGTTAGGACAGTATTCTTGGGAGTGGGTGGGGAATGGTGAGGCTGAAAGCCAGACAGAAATTTAAGACTGATATGATAGGAAAGAGGGAGAATGAATGGTGTTGACAGTGAGAGAGAATAGTGAAGTGGTTTGGGGGAGTTTGTTTAGGAAGGAAATGAGATCAGTTTTGGATGTGTTGAGTTTGAAATAAAGGTACGATACTTAGGAGAAGATGTCAATAGTTGGGAAATAGAAGACTAGAGTGAATACCAGACTGGAAGTACAGAGAGTCAGTGTATTGAGATGTTGGTTGAAGCCATGAAAATGGATGAGTTCTATCTAGACAGAGAAGAGCAGGGAACCCAGGGTAGTGATGCTGATTATATACATAGTATATAATCTAAGAATCATGTTGTTTTAGATATGCATGTTGTGATTTAAAAAAATACTGTTTTTATAGAAAATTTTCTTTAATATTTGGCTCAGACTAATAACCAACTAAGATTTGGTAAGCACCTATGTGCCAGGAACTGTGCTAGTCATGGGATACAAGGTAATCAAGTATGTTTGCGTTTCTTTCTGCACATAATGAAGTGTCCTAGTTGTCTGGGGCAACATTATGAAAACCAGGGATCAAAGTTTGGCAACAATTTAACATTTGTTAAGAAGAGATGGAAACCTTTTTTCGGTGTAGCCTCACTTTCAGGACTATAGTCCTGAATAGTTCATGACCCCCCTGGGATTTTGCAGGCCCTAATCACCACTCGTTCAGACAATTATAATAGGTTCCTAATTGGTCCTCTGCTCCCAGTCTCTTCCCTCTACAAAATAATAGGCCTTATGCACAAGTCTGACAGACCATGTCGCTTTCCTACTCAGTAACCGTTTATGGCTTCCTTTTGCCTCAGGGACAGCCTTGCAATTAAGGCCCTATAAAATTTGACTCCACTTTACTTTTCTACCTTTATTCTGTAATATTTCTCTTCTTGCATTCTACTTTTTAGCCAATCTGAACTACTAGCTGTTCAGAAATACATTTGCCGTCTCTTGTCGGGCTTCTTTGGTATAGGCTATTCACCATGCCTGGAATGCACCTACCTTGTCTGTATCTGC